GAAAACCTCCAGTAGAGAAGTAATTAAAACTTTAATTCTAAACACTAATTTTACACAAATATAGATATACAACACTGAGATAAGTAATACAGGGACTTTGAAAAATAATTTGGTAGTGCCATTGGTAAACATTTAGTTTTTTATTATATTACTTTTTTAATGTCTCAAACTGAAAATTACATCCTTCACATTGATATATTTTTTATCTTACTGAGTTTTGTTAAATGATTTGTTGTTGAGAAACCAACTGTTATCATTATTAAAAGGAAATAGGTTTCATAAACTATCACCAGCATAGTGTAGTATCTTTTTAACGTAATCTCAGATCACAGTAATAAAAGTGTTTGGCCAGATTTGATGTTTCTATCAAGTGTACTGAGACATAATTTAGTAACTTATTTAAAAACAAAACAAAGTGTATATATGCAAAATAAAGTTTCAGCTAAATCTAAACTTAACTGCTTAAACATTACAATTGTCATATCATTATAAGATATGTATAACTTAAAGAACAATCAAAGTTTTGTCTAACAGAACAAAGTACTCTTTTCTTCACTCATTTACCATCCTTAATCTACTCAGTCACCAAAACTTTTTGGTTTCCTTTTCTATGGCTTATTGTTCAAAGTTAGGATGACCTCTGGACCTTTATAATCACTTGCTATCTCGTCACTGGGGGAATTCTCTTCAGATAAAGGACCATGGAAAACAGCTGGTGGTTTAATCATTGGTAATATATTAGAAGTGATCTTTACATGAACCTCAGGATCTTCATCAGGTTGTTTTACCTCTGTTGAAGACTACCCTGAAGCTAACCTAATCTATACTTTCTCATCAACATACTTCCAAAGATTATTGTAGTGTCTAACCTTTGGACTAAATGGAGTGTCTTTCTGGATTATTTTCTATTACAATTTATTACCTTGAGCATCTGTCCTTGTTTTCACTGGAAGTTTAAAATCTGATGGTGTAATTGTCATGACATGCACAGGAATTTCCTTGTCATCCACTGTGAAACTGTTTGAAGTAAGTATAACTTCACATCTGTGTTTTTGCACAAAATATATTTCCATTATGTATTCTTCCTCAGTGTCAATTATCAACACAAGATGTTGTGTAGAGAAGCTTCCCACAGTGAGAGTGACTTCCAACTTTCCTCTTGCTCTAACCAATGCAGTTTGCATCATTCCATCTTCATGCTTCATCTCTAGAGGAAATTTACCACCTTTCATTACCAAATCAGATTGAATAATGGTAGTATAGAACTAGTGTCAATCAACGTGGTGAAAGGCTTCCAACCAACATATTCATTGACTTGTGAGTTGTTTTTTTTTTAAATAAAGCTCTCCTTATCTCAGTGGGAATAGGAGTATTCTCATTGATAGAATATTGTCTCTTTGTTTTCTCTGATCCTTTTGGAGCAGTTTTTATCTCCTAAAGGCTTTTGTTTGCAGTTCCTTGCAATATTCCCTTTTATCTAAACATCCTCTATCCTTGATTTTCATCGTCCATTCTTAGTAAACAGTTGTCTGTTTAATTGAGGGATTCCCAACCTTTTTGTTCCTTGGTACCCCTTGGCCTTGGGCATTCTGACAGGTTCCCATGTACCCCTAAAAATTAAGGATCAAAATTGACAAAATTATATTGATTTTATTATGAAATCTGTATGTTTGGACTGCATAAGGATCTTATAGTATTGATAACATTGATAAATTGAACTCAGGTTATATTTATGTGAGCCACTTTGCTCTTTTTGTCTGACTGTAGATTAAAACACCATGTAAAATGTAAACCATGGTTATACTCTCAGATCCCTATGTACCCACTGAGAAGTGCAAATGTACCCCAGGTTGGGAATGTCTGGTTTAATACTTTGAGCTCTTCTATATCACTGTTAGATGGAATTGGTGTTTCTACACTGTTTATTGAGATAACCTCATAATTCCTGGATGGTGCTTGTGGTTGTTTATCTGCAACTTTAACTGATCTTTGTTTCATTACCAACTGAACAGCTTCTTTTAAAGATGTGCACTTATTTTGCTTTGATTTAATTCACATATTCTCATTTTTTGTTGTATCTGTGAGTTGGGTGCATGCCAACAAATCTATCATTTCACAAAGAACATGTAGTTAAGATTATTGGCAAGTCTTTCCACATCTTTAGAAAGTTTGGCTAAGATTTAATTCTTCCTCCATACTCTGCTCCTATACTTTGTTTTAGAAACTTTTGTTACATAATGCTCCATAGCTGTGTGATAAAGCAGCTCTCTGTTGGAAGGTTGCTTAATGTTGTTAAAGCTGGGTCTTTGAAATGAGCAGCAAGATGAATAGTCTTTTGGTTTCTCAATTGAATGATGTTGTTAAACAGGCCTGCTAAATCCCATATCACGATGAAGCAGTGGTGTAGCTGGAGTAGTCCTGGTAGGAAGGTCCTGCAGTCATAGATTGTATAATACTAGAGGAAACATGTAGACCAAATGGATTTTCATATTCCATATCACATAATTAGTGGTGTTTGAGGTTCAAATTCTTGAGTGGATACAAATAGGTGTAGCTGATTTAATCTTTGCATTTTTAATTCAATTTCTATATATTTGTTAAAGAATTTACTAATGTATTTTTATGAATTCTTCAATCTTGGTTTTATAATCTTTCTCTACTTCATTGATATCCTTTTGTACTTCTTCAGTTTCATAGTTGTAATCTTTCTTTACGTAATTGACATTATAATCGTTTTGTACATTTCATTTGGCTTCCTTGATTGAGTTTATTTTTGTTTATAAATCTTTTGTACATTTTGTTACTTCTTCTCTTACATTCCTGTCTCTTTTTTTCTCATTCTTCTTTTAATTTTCTGTAACTTTTTTCTTAGTCTTCTTTCCAGTGTTTCATCATTTCCATTAAATTTTCAATCTCACTTCAAGCACATGTCATTTCTTGAAATTGAGTATAGGTTCTATTTTATTTTACCAAAATAATACTATTCCCAAGATTACAACACAAGTGTTGCAATGACTTCTGTTACTGGACATTTAGTTTTTTGGGGGGGGGGGGGGGTTATTTAATAAAAAGGATAATGGAAAGTCCAATCCACTTAACGATAATACTTCATTCCTTCACCTTGAAGTTTCATGGTTAGCATAACTACCACTTGCCAATAGAACTTCACAAAAAACTAAAATTAAGTCTGATTAGAAATTTCATTTGTCTAATTACATATCTCTATTTCTTCATAGAAACACAAACTCAATATTCATAGAACTGAACTAACAAACCCCATACTCTCTCTAACAGATATACTAACTTCAGTTACTGTCTCACTCACTATATGGCAGAAATTGTTTCCTAAACTTTGGAAAAAGTTAAGGCCATACCCATCATGTTACAACAGCTATGTTAGACTTTGTTCTGGCTAAACAACAATAAAAAAATTTGTAGAAAGTTCTAGGAACCTATCAGAGGAAACAAAGGATAATCTTACTATAATTCATGTATATATATGTATCTATGTATATGTCCAAAATAAAAACAATGTGGTGACATGTATTGAATGTCACCACAAAGAAAAATTCATAAAAAAATTTGCACTTCAGGTACTCAAGATTCAGATAATTAGAAAAATAACTATG